AGAATCAGAAATGGTGCTGCGTGGTCACTTCACCACTGCAAATGCCCCAAACACTGTTAGCAGTAATGCCAGGAACCATCATTACACAGTGAATATTTACAGGTTATTTTGTTTGGTTTTCACAAAGAAAGCAGCATCATTTTTTTTCTTAGCATTTAGAGCTTTTTCATTTTGAGACATTTCTGAAACTATGTAAGATTGGATTCTTTTACAGGAAATCCAACCTGATATAATAATAGTAATAAGGTTCTATTTATTGTCTACAATGTGTCAGGTGCGATGCTAGATATTTTACAGTCATTATCTAATTTAACTGTCCCACAGGCAAAGTGTTATAATCTATAGTTTACAGATGAGGAAACTGAGGGCTCAAAAAGATTAAGTGGTTCAAGCCAAGGTAATATAACTGATAAATGACAAAGCCAGAATTCAAGACTCAGGTTTATCTGACTCTAAATCTATAACCTTTCTACTACATTAGTATTAAAATGAATCTACTAGAATATATTATCAACGATGTCTCTGGTATTCAATTAAATTACTTGAGATGGATATTACAAGAAAAATCTACTTATATATAAATGATAGTCATAGCATGTAAGGATTTTACTATGTATGTTTATGTTTTTAGGGCCCAGGACTGAGCCCTAATTCATCTGAATCTAGGATGTAATGAGTTATGTTAAAACATTAATCCATCATATTACACTAAACACTAAGAATTGCTACTAAAATGATGTCTCATTCAGGGAAAGCCTCTTCACTCCTCCTCCTGAACAATGGGCAGCACAGAAAGTGTTCGATTTAATTAGTTGTGTATGTAGAAAGAGATGCTCATCTGTTTCCATGGAGTCAAACACATCACGACATCCTTCTCCATGGAAACGGAGAAGGGAAAACAGAAAATGCTCAAGTGAATGAATTCACTGAGCAATTGGTGAGCAAAGATTGAAGAAAAAATATATCTCATTTGTAGTACTATGTGACTAGTTTAGAAAAGAGAAATAGCATATATTTAGAGATAGTCACTCTCGTGCTATATAAAAGAAGGTACAAGATGCATTGAAATTTAAGATGTACCTTAATACTAAAAAAAACCACATTATTTGATAGGAATATACAAATGTTAGGAAATACCACAGAGCAAAGGTATTATTGTCTTCGCACGGAAGACAAAAATGGCAGAATTCTTAAAAGGTGAACAATGTTACAGCTCAAAGTCAGTTAATGAATAAGGGGTTCCTTAGACAAGATGACAGAAAACATAGGGGACCAATTTATAAATACATTTATCAGCTCTGTACTCGTTTCACATCATGATTGCTTCTTTGTTTCTAAGGAATTTTTTCTTTGGGGATATAAAATTATAGGAATATTTCAAGTTTTATTATGTAACACATTAATTTATATGATTGAGCCTGTATAAGTGTTTTGAATTTACAACATACTGCACACTTTGTTCCCTTTGAAGATTATATTTCATGTTAAAATAATAAAAGATTTATTTAAGATATGTTTTCTTGAGGAATTCTGACTTAAATAAATTTTTTTTCCAATGGAATTTAGTCCTAACTTGTCTCTCAGTTCAATTCAACTCAATTCAGATTTAATCTCAGCCCTCTAGATGATTATAGACTTCTTGGGAGGAAAGATACTTAAAGAATGATTATAATATTTATTTACTCCTTCAACAAATATTTCTCATGTGGCTACTATGTGCCAAGCACTGTGCTGGATTTTGTGTATATAATGATGAACTAAACAGACCTAGTCTATACTCATGGAGGCTCTTAGCTTACAGAGGAGAGAGACATTAAAATAGTCATACATATACACACAGAATTACAATCTTGAGATAAATTCTGTGAAGGAAAACTGCAGAGTTCCAAGACAGGACACGATGAACAGATTTCACTGAGAATGGATGGGCAGAGCAGGCCTCTTTGAATAAGTGACCTTAATGCTGAGATATGAAGAATGAGTAAGGGTCAGTCAGACAGAGAATGGGGAGAATAGTATTTCAGGCAAAAGCCCTGAGATGGAAAAGGGCTTACAGATTTGGGAAATGAAAATAAAGCAGGTTTTTCTAGGAAGAGAGTGGTGAAATGTGAGGTTGGAGAGGGAAAGAGGTACAGGTACACTTTCAAATTTTATTCCAGGTACAATGGGAAGCAATTAAAGAGTTTTGAGCATGAAAGTGACATAACTGAGTACACAATTTTTAGTACAAGTAAACATGGAACATTTAGCCAAAAAAGTCCAGAAAAGGCAAAGCTAAACTATAGTGTTTAAGATATATAACTAGGTGGTAAAACTACAATATAATTATTACCGTAAACGTCAAGACAGCAAATTAGTCCAAGGGGGAGGGAAGGATGCAGTGGGGTTTCTGGGGGAACAGTGTTCTGTTCTTTGACCTAGTGATGATTACATGGATGTTTGATTTATATTTATTTGTTAAACTGAACATTTATGTTCTATGGACTTCACTATATGTATATTTCAAAATAAGAAAGCATGTTTTATTTTCTTTCAGAAAAATATGGATTGAGATAAATAAGTGGGGATAATAGGTGCAGGTGGCTCAAGAAGCTTGGTTTTGGTGACAGAGGGTGATAATTGTCCCCATAGCCATTCTCTCATTCTTCTTTTTGGGAACTGAACACCCTGCGTTTTAGCTGGGCATGATGCCATCCAGGGAGAGAGATTTTTTTTTAGCTTCTTTTGTCCTAGGTGTAGCTCTAAGTCCACCCATTTCCAGAATGACAAATTGCTATTCTGCACTCTCTCCTTCCCGCTTCCTGCTGGCTGGGCTGTGACTACAGTGGAAGAATCTGCCTTTGACCCAGAGATGGAAGCCACATGTTGAGAATGGCAAAGCTAAGCCCTAGCAGCATCCCTGGACGATTTTATGAAGCAGAGATGCTTATCCACCCTAGGCTGCCCACTTACCTTTGTACTGTTATGAGAATGAAACATACCTCTATCTTATTTAAGTCACTGTTATGGCAGTTTAGCCCATGTACTGATACACTTACACAAAGGAAAGTTGAGCGATATGGTAATACCTTGAGGGGGATGAAGGAACAGAGAAGGGATTTTTAAATAATGGAGACAATAGAGCATGTTTAAATGTTGATAAAAGAATATAGAAGAAAAGGTTGATGATATAGTAATCAGAGGTTTAAAAAAAATGGAACAAGATCCCTGAGAAGATAGGAAGCAATATAATACAGAGTATGTGTGGAAAAACTGATCTTTGACAGAAAGGGATATTTGCTGTGTTTTAGCAGGGAGAGAGAAGAAGACGGGTGTAGCTGTAGGTTGATTTGTAGATATCAGGCTGAAAGATGAGGGAGTTCCTATTTAGTGTTTTCATTTTTGGTAAGAAGCATAAAGCATTAGCAGAGAAGGGAGGGAGGGAGAAGCGGCAGTCAGAGTTTTGGTAGAGTGAGAAGATATGGAACAGTAATTATGGAGAAATGTAGTATGATGAGCAGAGACTGTTGAGTGCCTTTATGAAATGGGTAGTCTTAAATTTAGGGTGTTACAAATCTTCCAGACAGGTTAAATTGTTCAGGGCTTGGCAGAGGTAGATGGATTAGGTCCATCCAGAGCTGGGCTTGCAACAGCCAGGTGTAACAGGTGAGAAGAAAAGGGAGTTTTTCCAAGGGAAGGATTTTAGTAATAGACCATGGAATCAGGACTGAATAGGGACGAAAGTAAAGACAGAAAGAGACTGATGGTCGAAAGTGGAGAAGATAATGGATAGGGGGTCTCAGTGACATTGAAAAACTATTGTTCTCATTAGCAAATGAGCTGGAACTAACAGAGTTTTAGTTGAATGGTGGATGTTTGAATGAGTGATTCAGAGGTGGCTGAAGATGTCAAATTCCAAGCAGTAACTGAATGTAGGCAGCTGAGGTAATGTGAGGATCACACCTCTGATAGAGAAGAGAAATCTTTACAGAGAATGTGGTAAAAGAATTTTGTCTTTGAAGATGAATTGGAGTTTGTTTAGTAGAGAAGAAGGTAAGGGGGTAGAAGGTAGAAAAGGGGAGAAGGGACAGATGTATAGAGAAAACTAAAGACAAAATTCATGGCATACTGAGGAATAGAAAGCCTAGCCAGCAGTTAGGGTGCATGGGTAGTTCCTGGAGAAACTGGAAATGTAGGGCGAAAATAAATTCTGAAAGAATAGGTATGGAAGTTCAAGTAGTGTTGACTTGATTTTAAAGCCCAGGTTGTCAATCATAATGTCACTAGACACTGGTATGTATAGAGATTACAAATAACAGAAATTTTTATCTCATTTCTTTTCTTTGGGACTAATGACTTGTAAACATGTGGATTTGTGATTTTTACAATTCTGGAATATTCTTACCCACTGTCTTTCTCCTATTCACTTTATTCTCTAGAACTTCTCTAGAAAGTTCTTCTAGAGCCTCCATATTGGACCTTTCTCTCACTATAAGATAGGGTGAACACAATCAATTTAATTGAACACAATCAATCAATTGAATCAATGATAAGGAGAACACTGAATCAATTTTAAATCATTAGCAGAAACTAACACACCATTGTAAAGCAATTACACTCCAATAAAGATGTTAAAATTTTTTTTAAATCGTTAAAATTATTTGTAAACATTAGTACTTTGGGTATATATTAAAAGTTATAGCTCACTAGCCAATATCTCATTCCAGATCTCTGCTGTTACAAAGATGAATTAATTCTCTTAGCACCTTAAAGTACACATCCAGATTCAATGCCAAACACACAGATATTTCTCAAGTACTTTTCATCTAATCTTAACCTGTATTTTTAAGTTTCAGGACTTAATTTCTTTCTTGTCCAAGTCCTGAAACCAAATATAAACAATAATGTATTTCCATTAAAATGTGTAAGTAAATTGCCAATTAAGACTAAGATTAACAAACTTCCTTAGGACAAAGAGTTCTTTTTAAAGTTTCTGTACTTAAGGGGAGCTTGGAGCTTACCTATGATAAGCTTGTGAAGAGCACCCTTATCTCCATTAATAGCAGCAGCATGAACTTGGGATGCTAATGAGGAACCAGGAAAGAACAAGTTCTCTGATCTGTTCATAGTCTTCTCAACAACTGGAACAACCTGAAATGATGATGCAACCAATAAGTATCTGTAGGAAATCCATCTCATCAGTTCTAAATGGGTACGTTATAAACATGGTTTACTAGAAATATTTCACCAGGATTCAAAAAGTCTACAGTCCTAGTCTTAGAATTGCCATAATGGAGTAAATTAGGTGACCCCTTGTACAAGTTGCTCATCTGTAAAATGAAAGGATTAGATGCTTCAAGACCCTTCTCAGGGGCTGAGAAAAAAAAAAGGCTGAAGATTTAACATTAGACACAGGGTCCAAAAGTCACAGTGACTTGCCAAGTTAATACAGGTGATTTGATTCCACATAATACTAAATATTAGACTTGATATTGGGAATAAAGGTGATGACCAAGCCACAAAATAGGTATGATGTGAACTTAATTGTCAGGTTAGAATTACCTAGATTTAAGCACTAAATTAGAAGGTACTTCATTCTTTCTCTCATGCCCACAAAAGGAGGAATTTATATTTGTTCTCCCCTTGTGTCCACCAGGGAAATATACCTAGTTAGAGATCTTGACCTTAGGAACTTAACTTGGAAACCACATCATTAGGATAAACCATTTTTCATTAAGGAAAAATTTTGCTTTGACTGGTAGTCTCATATGGTTTGATAGAACCTTCTAGAAATGCATTAGCTGCATAGGAAAATAGTGAGTTCCTTATCATAAGAGTGTTTAAGCAGAGGCTGGATTATGTCAGAAATGCAGCAGGAAGAATTCAAGCATCTGATGGGAAGGAAAGAGGGGTAGTTTCATCAATGATCTTAAACTTCCATCCTAAAGCAAAGATGCTATATCAAAGTTCCAAAGTTGAATGCCTACAAGGATCAGGGAGGTAACAAGGGCAAGAAACATGGGGAGTCATGGGGAACATGGCAAAGTGGAGCATACGTATCTAAAGGGAGCAGCTGTTAATTAGCTACAGTTAGTATCTGCAATAATGGTAAGCAAGCCCTCTTCTGATTTTACCAGAAACTGACACTCCAATCTCTGTGGCTCCCAAGGATCTGAGAGCTTTGTAAAATAAATTTATCACAACTCATGAGCTAGTACTTGGCTGTCATTGATGAAGATTTTTGGTTCAAGTTCTGCCTTAGAGTGAAAGCATTTTCTTAATTTTGGTAAAGTCAGCTCTTCATGGCTTTATTTTGCTGACAATCTGAGTTAACGTCTTGGCAGAAATGGGCGTTTTGAGAGACTCTGTCATGTCTGAGCATGTCTGTCATGTCAGAAAAACCAGTCATATGCAGGATTATATTAAGGTGACTTGAAAGAAGCTACAAAACAGGGGTGGAGGTGGAAACACGGTAGAGGAGTAATTGCACTTGGGATCAAGATCCAGTTCTGTTAATAATATGGAGTGAACACTTAGGCTGCCTCAGCTCTGCTTTTCTGTAAAATATGAAACATGAAATTGGTACACCAAGTTGATCATTCAACAAGTTGAGTGCCAACTATGTGCTAGGCACTGTACTGAACTCTAATGCCTATCACTTTAGACTCTAGGTAATCAGAGTTTTATGCACATAAGAATCACAAAAAACTTTTGAAAATAAACTAAAAATTGTACCTGTTATATATTGGGTTGGCCAAAAAGTTCGTTCGGTTTTAAGTACAAATAAAAGGCATTTTTCATTTTCACGAAGAACTTTATTGAAAATCGTATTCACTAACCAAATGAAATTTTTGGCCAGCCCAATATATTTATATATACTTCATCTCATAATTCTTAGCATTTAGCACAGTAACAGGTGCTAGTGTTCAGTGAATGTTTGTTGAATGAAAAGTCATAGGCTGAGTGCTAAGTCCAGAGGGTGAGCAGGGTCAAAGTTTAGTTTCTTGGAGTAATGAGTTCATACTCATGAGTCTCTGCTCTTTTTTAATTCCTCATTTCTATCTCTCCGTCAGAAAGGTCACTGAGTAGTATAGATATAAGAACACTGGACTAGGAGAGAGGAGACCTAAATAAAAATCTTGGCTCCATCACTGTTTAATTTTGTCAGCCTGAGAAATCCATTCTTTAAGGTCCCCCCTCCTTTTTTTAAGCTCAAACGCATACGTATTTTTTTTTTTAGCGCTAATGCTATTTGTAAATTTTTTACAAATGAAAATCAAAACCACTTTGTTAATTATGAAATGCTATACAATGCAAAGGTATAATCATCATTAACTAACTATAGAACAAGCCAGTGTAATAAATGCTCTAATAATTAAAACCATAGAAAACTAGTGGTGCTGTAGTCATAAGCAAAGGAAGAGTAATTTTGATTAGGACCAAATGGTTGGTTGTTTGGGACGTTCTCAGGGATGGCGACATTTGAGATGGCTATCCAGGTAGAGAAGGGGTTAGGGCCATTCCGGGCAGCAGGGGAGGTGAAGCAAAGGCAAGGAGTAGGGAGAACCACAGAAGAGTTAAATGCCTCACGGCTACTTAGTTGTGAATTGTGTGTCTACGATTGGGGGCACGTGGACCTGGCTGGGTGTTCGTAGATGAGGCTGGAGAGCTAACGGGGGCAGCCAGGTTGTTCCTCAACTGCTTGGCTAACGAAGTTTTAAATTATCCTGCAGGTGTGATCCATGCATTAGTAGCAATCACTCTCGCGCTGAGCTTTTCAGTTTACAACGTGCTTTCCCAGTCCATCCCACATCTATTCCTTACAGGAGCCCAAAGAGACAATTAGGGGTAAGTCATTGACACATTCCACTGAAACCCAGAGGGGTGGCTCGGGCTTTATAACGCAAGAATTAGCGCAGAGAGAAGAGGCAGCAGGCGAGGAGGCCAGTGATGGGAGGTTCAGTCCACAGCCCAGGACAGGAGGGTCGTGAGTTTGAGGCAGGGGCCAAGCAGTGCAGATCGATAGGAGCCTCCCCAGCCAGGCCCCCTCTTACTCACCCTCGCCTCCTCCAGGACTCACGTCCTGGGGGCGGCTCCAGGAGGCACGACCCCCGCTGGGCCGCCCCTCCTGCCAGGTCAGGCCACTACATCCGGCTGGGACAGAGCCCACCACGCTGAAACTGGCGGAGCCCCTCGGAAGGCCGCCCGAGACGCTCGACCGCACAGCCTTCTGGGAATTGTAGTTCCCGCCCTCCGCCCTTTCTATCCCACAGAGCCCCGCGCGCGGCGGGCTCGGTGGACCAGGGCCGATAGCCTGATGGGAAAAGAGTTCTTGGTGCCCAATGACGTGCTCTTTGAGAATGGGGCAGGACTACATATTCCGATGTGCTCCGAGGTAGGCAGGACCCGGAAGTGAGGGTGTGCAAGGCCTCTCTGGAAGTTGTCCCGGGTGTTCGCCGCTGGAGCTCCGGGTCGAGAGGACGAGGTGCAGCTGCCGGGAGAATCCTCCACTGCCGCCGGCTCCCGGAGCCCAGCCCTTTCCTAACCCAACCCAACCCTGTCCAGTCCCAGCCGCCAACGCCAGTCCGTGCCGCGGACCCCGGCGTTACCATGAGTCCTGCCGTCTTCCTATCCTTACCCGACCTCAGATGCTCCCTGCTGCTCCTGGTGAGTGAGTAAAGGAATGACAGACCCTTCGGCAGATATTCGGATGGCCTGCCGCCCTCGCCGAGGGGGACACAGTTGCCGCTACCCTTGCTTTCCTATCTTTTCCCCTGGTGGCGAGGAGTGCACCCTCCCCCGCTGCCTTCATTCTCGGCATCCGTCTGTCAGCTTCCCAGGCCCGGGGTTCCCGAGGCCTGAGAAGCCACGGTCGGAGGTGGGACCTATAAACCGGAGATTAGCCCTGGGAGAAGGATCTGTGGGAGGGTCACGGCGAGCAGCGCCCCTTCCCCTGGAGTTCGGAGGTTGTTTCAGTCCAGAGGGCTCACGGACTTTGCGGTAGACTGAGTACAGAAGGTCGGGGCATAGACCTACTGTTCCCTCCCACCCCCTCTTTTTGGGAAGAATGTGAGGCCGACAGGTGCTGGGGTCTTGTGCATCTCGCTCTGGAGCCCTAAAACGGTGCCCGGGTCGGCGGAGCCCTCTGTTGTGGCTTGATACGATTGGTTGGGAACCCGGAACTGGAAATTGGTTTGGTGTCCACTGGGGGAGTAAAGGTTTGAAGGGTGGAGGCTGTGATTACCAGCAAGCCTCAGCTCAGAGCCGCCCTCAAATCTGGTTATACCTCCCGAAATTTAAACAGAGTTGTTCTTCAGTGCTCCTGATTTGTGAATGACCAGGTTTTCTGCATGCATGTGCACTTATTCCTTAACTTCCTCACCGGCTCAGCACCATCCCATCTTGTAAAGGAATCTTCCTACAGTCCCTCTTCCTCCAAATACATCTTGAGGGTGCAGCCTAAGTGATCCAGGCTGCAGGTCAAATTGAGACAAAAGTAAAGGACTAACTCCAGGTGGTAAAATGATGGACCTTTAACTGAGCTAGTGTTATAATACGATATTTGAAGTACTTTAATTGTAGTAGGTTTTTAAAAAGCTAAATTTAAGGTGAACACTAAGTCAAAATCAGTCTTGACAATGTAAAAAAATATAATTAAATGACTCAGGAAGGCGTATAGCTGGTTACCAGCAGAACTGGGATTTGAAGCAGATCTCTTGACTCGCAGTGCTTATTCTGCCATATCACGTTACATTTTTAATATTTGTGTTTGAAATAGTTTCTCTCTCCCTCTCCCTTTTCCCTCTCTCCCCATTTTCCCTTCTCTCCCCTCTCCTTCCTCTCTCCCCTCTCTTTTCTTTGTGATTTTCAAGTCATATTCAAAGGCCAAACACAGTATTTGGACCTTTTCAGAGGATAAGTGCTATGAAAACTAAGGGGAATGTCAAAGTACTTTTGAGAACTAAAAGTTGCATATAAACATGGTGATGTTAAATGATGAAGTGTCTTATTGGGAATTCTTATAATTATATGGTAATGAATGGCTTCTGTATAGAGGAAAATACTCTGTAGAGAGCTGTTTCTTGGTAATTGCATTATACTCTGTGGCTCTCTTCCTTCTAGCAGTACTGGAATAATACTCATTGTTATCAGAGACCACTTTCTCTTTAAGGATAATAGATACTAATCTTTCCATATCCATGGCCTGAATTATGAGTTGTTTGCCAGAAATTACTTTTAGGTTACAAAAAATATGAAGGGCAAAAAATCTTAAGAGATGGGAAAGAAAAGTTGAAATACTGAATAGGAAAACTACATCAGATGCACTGTTTGGTTGTAGAGCTAAGTTTAAGAAGGAGAAAAGAATTTATTTTGAAATAACTCATACTTTTTATAGAAAACCTACAAACCCTGTTAAGCATAAAAAAGAGTTTTTTCTAATACTTTTAAAATCTAGTTAACATTTTGTATACTTATCTCTCTGAGTAAATGTAGAGGAATAGAAGACATTTTCGAGAATACCTGTAAAGGTTAGTATGCTGGAAAATAAAGCCCAAGAAAAGGTTTAGTAAGCCAGAGTTACAAGTCGAGCTAGATTCAGTTTGAACACAGTATTTACCAAAGTAGTTCTAATAGTCATATACCAGTTAGCAAATATTTATAGAACATCTGTCTGATCACAGTTTGAAATACTTATCTAACTGGCAGTTCTGTTCTATTGATGGAAGCTGCTTACTCAGTATCCCACCTGTCTAAAAATATACCCTTTATCTTCTCCAATGTGCTTTCTTCCTCCTCCCTCCAACTTCCCCTCTCAGACTTCAAGTTTATTCCCTCCCACATACAGCCATTGAATATCCAAGTTTCCCCCTAGCTGAGGTCATTTTTTTCCTTAAATGGCCTGCTATAAGAAGCCGTATATTCTCTTACCACAATAATTTTTTTTTTTTTCAGGTAAACTCTACCTCAGCCCTAAAGAATTAGATGTATTGAGAGTTAGTGGTGTTTATAAGATAACAGCAGGAACATAAAATCCTAAACTTCTGCAGGCAGGTAGTGGTTTTTTTTCCCCCTGATGTCAAAAGCATGTTGGGACATATCATTCTATGCCTAAAAAGCCTTTCTGGGATGGGTAACTAAACACAGAAGTTCAGTGTGATAACTTTTTCCCCCTGAGCTTTTATGTATAGATATCTTTAAAGTCAGGGTCTTAGAGAATGAGTTCTTTTATTTCAGGCTTGCTTTTTGAAACACCCCCATTGCCTTTAAATTATTTTTAAACTCCACTGAATTTGCAGCATGTCTTGGACAAAGTGTGGTAGTATAGGGGTGCACTGATTTTGGATAAATCTGAAGAAAAATTTGAGTCACCTGGCAAATGCAGAGAGGCATAATTCTCCTGATACCTTTTCTGTACCTCACGAATATTTATTGTTTCTGTAAGGGTTTGAATTGATCCATTAGGTATGTGATTACAACTTTAGTTTCTGAACTGTATAATCTCTGCCTCCATAACTGTTCATCATATTTTGTGGATGATTGGAATGCTGGAGACAGCAAGGTTTCTCTGCTAAAACCCCATGTATATAATGTCTGGATTGGGAAATTCCTTCCCAATTGTGTGCTCTTTTAAGGAGAACTGAGCTGCCTGAATTTGAGGAAAGCACCCAGCCAGATGTATCTTGGCATTATCTTTTTTTTTTTTTTTGCGGTACGAGGGCCTCTCACTGTTGTGGCCTCTCCCGTTGCGGAGCACAGGCTCCGGACGCGCAGGCTCCGCGGCCATGGCTCACGGGCACAGCCGCTCCGCGGCATGTGGGATCTTCCTGGACCGGGGCACGAACCCGTGTCCCCTGCATCGGCAGGCGGACTCTCAACCACTGCGCCACCAGGGAAGCCCTCGGCATTATCTTTTCATTTTGCTTTGTGACAGTCATTACTTGGCAGCTTATAGGATAAGTTAAATGGACATTTCATTTATCACTAACCAAAGGATCAGTTACTTATTAATTAGCCCTTTTCTGCTTATCTTTCTACCTGAGATGGGTTTATTCAGGATTAAAAGTGATCATTTTCCCCTTAAATTAATTATTTCTTAGCAGTTGTTCTTCCTGCATTGGTTGTATACAAAAGTTTTGAAAAGGTGAGATAAGAGAAATAAGACTAAATTGGAATGAAGTTGTCTGATATAGCCTAAATGACCTTCTGTGCTTCAGAGGTTTGTAACCTGCTCCAGTTGTTTTATTGAGAATGCTTTCTTGTTAATCACTTAATGGTTTATGTTTATAGATCATAAGTTGTTACTAGCTCTAATTGCCTTGTGCCTGGATCTTAAGGCTTTTACCATTATTGCTCCTGGTTTGTTCAATATGTATAAGAAGCCAAGAAAAGTTTGCTTAGGAAACTAAGTAAATCAGAGAGCTAAGTAAACATTTATTTAACTTTATAAGTACCTTAAAAATAAGTACAGTAGAATTCAGAGATGTCAGTTTTAGCCATTAGTGCCAATGATAAATACTGATTCCTACCTTCAAGAAGAGTACTTTTGGAGACATGTAGTTCCATTCATAACTCAGTGAGTTATTTATCCTATTGACATGACTTGCCCCAGATCAGTGGTTTACAAAACTTGGTGGCTCATTGGAACTGCCTGGGGCAGTTTTAATACAATGATGTGTAGGCCCTACATCAGGCTAGTTATATCTGTGGGATCCAAACACTGTTCTTTGTTTGTTTGTTTTTAATTCCCAGGTCATTTGTTTTTTCTTTAGTATGTCTCTCTAAAAGATAAGAATTAAACAACAAAGCAAAAACCAGAATGCCATTATCACATCTAGAAAAAGTCACTGAAATTTCTTTATGTGATCAAATATCTAGTCAATGTTCAGATTTTCTTGACTGTTTCAAAGAAAAAAAAAATTTTTTTTTTTAAACAAATTGAACGTTCAAAGCAGGAGCTATATTAGGTTCATACATCCCAATAGGCTTATATGTGTCTTATAAAACTTTACAAATCTATAGGCTCACTCTCCATCTCATTTTTTTCCCTTGTAATTTATTGTTGGGGAAACTGGGTCCTCTGTCCTGTAGAATTTGCTACATTCTGAATATTGCTGATTGGATCCTCATAGTGTAGTTTCATGTTTCTCTGTTCCTTTTGTTCCCTATAAATTTGTAGTTAAATTTATGTGGGCTTCACCGTCAACTCAATATATGGTTCGGTTCATTTGTTTCATTTAGCT